TTGTACTTTTTTCACTTTTGTGAATACAAAAAAGGTCTTGAGGACCTGATGCTTAAAATCATTTAATTTAGTCAAGTAATGAGTGGTTTATGACCGATTGATTAAAAGCAATGTCTAATAGAATCCACAGAGCAAAAAGAATAATCTGAAGTATGTCGCGATGATCAATATAATACTTTATAGTACCACAATGTGCTGTTTCAACCATCCCCGGTAAAATAACCTAATAAGGGAGTGATATCAATTTCATATCATCAAAGCAATTTTGTTACCCAGACTTTCAGAAATGTTATTTTTTTTTTTCGTGTAAACCTTGCTCGTAGCTGGTCCATGCAATTTTCAAAAAAATTTTCAAATATACTATTTTGTTTCGTTTTCAATTTTCTATCGGATGAGCCATTGCTCAAAAAAGATGGATGAACCAATAAAAAGTTATATGCAAAATACTGAAAAAGGAAGTTTTTTCAAAAATTTTGGGTGTGTGCCTTTGGAAAACCATTTATAACTTTACAACGAAACTGTTCGAAAGTTTAAAATTTGAAATCAGTTAGTAATTTTGCATGAAGAATTGAATGGGATAGGTTTCGAAGAATTTTTGGCATGTGCCTGCCTTATTGAGCCATTCTTGACTCGTTCATGGAATGTCTCTTAAGGAGAGACAATCTGATCTTCAAAAGATGGATAGGTGCACCATGGTAGACCTTATTTTTGAACTTAATTCTTATATAAGTCGATGTGATTAGACCTTGGCTACAGAATGGTGAAAACTGTAGGGTTTTATCTCTTTACAATCAAAAGGTATTCTAAAACTAACCTTGCATTCAAGGAATATAAAAAACTGGTGCGCTGAAGAAAAATGATGAATCTGTATATAAAACTCGACTTAAATTTAATTATATTTAGTAATTTTACAACCGCCTTCTTAGTTACTAGAGACTCAGACAGAATTCATTTCTGTCTGAGTCTCTAGTAACTGAGAAGGCGGTTGTAAAATTACTAAATATAAAAAAATGATGAAAATAAATTTCCATTACACCTTTGCTGATAATAAAGAGTATAGAATTAAGCGCTTCACAGTTACATCATTTTTGAACATCATGTGTCTTTGTTGAAATGAGCACAACTGAATTAAAGGTACCCCCCTCTTTTTTGACCCTCTTGAAAACCGGGGAAGCCGATATTGGATCGAGAAGAAATTTATATCAGAGATAGAACATCGGAAAAGAAAATCGATGTATTTTTGCCCAGAATTTTCTGAGATGTTCTTCTATGGGTTTTTCTGGAAAACTTCGATTTTCATTCAGTCACATTACGGACTTTTAAATTATATGGGACTAAGTATGTACCAGTTTTTTCACGTAAGAAACCTGTTAGAAGTGCAAAAAGAAAATTACGTGGAGCTAGAGGATGAGAATGTTCTCTCATTACTTACCAATAAATGGTAAACCAATTGGAACAGCAATACCTTGTACGAATAACAAGAAACCATATGCATTTGACATTTTGTCTAAACCAACTAAATCAACTAAGACAATTGGTCTCAGACTTATGTAACCACCTAGAAAGAAAGAGAAGAATGACGTAAAACCTAATTTTGAGCGCTAAAATTGCTGTAAAATAAATTATTTTAAACTTACTAACATTAATTTCGACTCCCAAAACTAATTAAAACTAATTTATGTTATCAAAATTATTCCAAATATATTTCAAAAACATTTATTTAAATGAATTTGAGAGTACAAATCAATCTGAAGTAATTTAAAGCACGAAATTAGTTAGAACTCATTCACAATAAATTAATTTAAACCTGTTTAATTAAAACTAATGTAATTAATGAAATTAATGTTTTTTCAACTATTAATTAAATTAATGTTTTCTCAACTATTAATTAAATTAATGTTTTCTCAAACTAATTGGAGCTAATTTTAATCTAGAAATTAATTCTAGTTGATTTTAACTGCGAAATTGACGTAAACTAATTTACTACAAACGAATTTAAATTAATTTGGTCTCTTAAATTGATGTGAAGTAATTTTTCAACTTTTTTGGGTCAGAAATTAGTTTGCATTAATTCGTAAGTAATTAAAAGTTTCAGTGGGTAACTTACAATAGAGTTACAGGAAGTTATGGTACGTACCAGTAAAAAAGCCGAATGTGGCACCATAGATCAGATGTAATGAAAGATTATTTGTACTAACTAGTGGTTCTAATACGGTAGCTACACCCACAATGATTAATATAAAATTGTATAATGTTAAACGATTCACCTTCGGAATAAAGATGAACAACGAAGTGATGATCGATGAATGTTAAGATGTGAGTTCGTAAGGGTTTGTAGCGTTTTAGCTTCATGCGGAGATTTAGTAAAGATTTAACGCAAACGCTCTTCTACCAAAAATTCGTACTAGAAAAATTCGGTTCCAAGCAGACGCATCGAAGAAAAAATCGAAATAAAATTATTTTATGTAAATGGATGAGTGAAAAACCTTGATTTTCTGAAATCCCTACTCTCGGCAATTTTTAAATTATTTTGAATTTGCCATCAGACAGAACATCGCTCAAAACCCTTTAGTACTAAAATTAATCAAAATCCGTTCGGCCCTTTATTCTGGAAAAATTGAAAACTTACTCATGTCACAGACCTGTTCAGTAAAAAGATAGAGAAAGACAACTTTGTTAATTCCTAATAAAATTCCTTAAGTTTCCTTAAGCCCACGGCACTCTGAACCACTTCGTGCCACTCCAAGTCATCCAAGCCACTC